GGTGCCTGGCATAGAACAAACTAGTAAAATATTCAACAATCAAAATTTTGGTTCAGTGAGGAAAGATCTTTTAAAAGAGGAGTTGCACAACTTTAATTTCATTAAGAATGTCTGAGCTGGGCTGGTGCTGTGGTACAGAGGGTTAATGCCCTGGCCTAAATCACTGGCATCCCATATGGGCGCTGGTTCTAGTCCTGGCTGCTCCACTTCTGATCCAGCTCTCTGCTATGGCCTGGGAAAGCAGTAGAAGATGGCCCAAGTCCTTGGGCCCCTGCACCCGCATGGGAAACCCAGAGGAAGCTCCTGGCTCCTGGCTTCGGGTTGGCGCAGCTCAGGCAGTTGCAGCCATCTGGGGAGTGAACCAGCGGATGGAAGACCTCTCTCTCTCTCTGTCTGCCTCTCCTTTCTCTGTGTAACTCTGACTTTCAAATAAATAAATAAATCTTTAAAAGAAAAAAAAAAGAATGTCTGAGCCAGATATTAGGAATAGCTTTGGTAACAGAATTCACATTTTTAAGTTAGTAGATGGAATTCTAAGCACAAATCAAGACAGATTCAAATATAATCTCAACCAATAATGTTTGGGGATAGACTGTTTCTAAGCTTAAGAAATGCAGAATTTACTGAGAGCACTTCAATCAAGGAAAGATCAAAGTAAAATGAGATCATTGTTACTGTGTTATGAATCCAATTAGCTTTTTATAGTAGGATTTTTCAGTGAGGAGAATTACTTTCTTATCTGCAGAACTTGATTCTATGGGAGTGAGCAGATACAGGTGTAAGTAGGAATGTAGAAGGCGCAGCTCCCATTCTGAGTGGGCAAGCAGGCATTTGGCATAGTGGGTTAAAACACCCACGTGGGATGCTCACATCCTTGGTTTGAGTTCCAGCTCCTCTGGTTCTGATCCACCTTTCTGTTAATGTTTATCTCTGGAAGCAGCAGGTGATGGCTCAAGTATTTGTTCCCTTGCTACCCGTGTGGGAGACATGGATGGAGTTCCTAGCTATTAGCTTCAGTCTGGCCCATACCTGGTTGTTGCCACTTGGAGAGTAAACCAGCAGATGGAAGTTATATTTCTGTATTTCTGTATCTTTCTCTTTCATTAAAGAAATAAAAAGAAACCCAGCAGAATGAGCCTCTCAGCTTGATCCAGACTCAACATAGAAATAAAAATACAAGCTGTTTGAAAAGAAGGGTTATTAACTTTTGAATGAAACTGTGGTTGGTGTTTGGCATTTTTAAAGTTTAATTAAGTTGCATGCTGGCCAAAAGAGATAGTTATGTATGGGCTCCTACAATTGCAAAGATTGAACGAGAACAGATTATCTGGTCAGTGATGCTGAGAGCTCTCCTCATCCAGCCTCTCTAGGAAGAAGTTATTGGTGGAATGGAGGCTACGTGATAAAAAGAAGATATAGGAAAGCCAGACTGATTAGTGGGCTTTTCTCAATGAGTCACCATCTGCAATGAGTCACCCATGACAAAAAGAGGGAATGGAGCTCATGGATGCTGTTGCAGGTTGTACTGTGACTCTCAGCGAGCAATGTCAAAGTTTGACTCTATTTATTTATTTATTTATTTATTTATTTATTGTTGACAGGCAGAGTGGACAGTGAGAGAGAGAGACAGAGAGAAAGGCCTTCCTTTGCCATTGGTTCACCCTCCAATGGCCGCCGTGGCAGGCGCGCTGCAGCTAGTGCACCGCGCTGATCCGATGGCAGGAGCCAGGTACTTATCCTGGTCTCCCATGGGTGCAGGGCCCAAGTACTTGGGCCATCCTCCACTGCAGTCCCTGGCCACAGCAGAGAGCTGGCCTGGAAGAGGGGCAACCGGGACAGAATCCGGTGCCCCGACTGGGACTAGAACCCGGTGTGCCGGCGCCGCAAGGCGGAGGATTAGCCTAGTGAGCCCCGGTGCCGGTCAAAGTTTGACTCTTATATCTGTGAATGTAACTTTATTTGAAAATCGACTCTTTACCCATTCGAGTCTTCTAGGTAAATCCTAATCCAATATGGTTAGCGGCCATAGGAGAAAAGGGAAATCTGGACAGATGCTTAAAGATGAAAATATCTTGCGAAGGCACAAAGTAAGGAAGACACAGGCCAAGAACAGATTTGTATTGCCACAGCCTGTGGCATACCTGTGGCTAAAAGAAGTTGGAAGAGGCAAGAAGGATCCTCCTTTCCAAGAGTTTGCAAAGGAAATTTACCCTGTCAATACCTTAATTTCAGACACTGCCATGCAGAAGTATGCCATAAGAGTTTTCTGTTGTTTTAAACTACCCAGTGGGTGGTCTTTTGTTAGAGCCACCCTAGGAAACTGCATGGATGCCAACCTCGTCACAGAGTTATTAAGATGTCACTAGAGTGGGAGCAGCAGAGATTGGCAGAGGACCATCTTAGAATCGCACACTTCCTGGAAATCATGTTCACTTTTTCTCAGGTTGGTAGTTGTTAAGCCACCCATCTTCTTCAGGTAACACTCAAGAAATGGGCAACAGCAAGGTTATCTTACAGTCACAGGAGAGGGGCTCCAAATAGCAGAGGCAACATTTTCTTTAAGAAAGACTTATGAGATGCAAAATAATGGTAATGTGGAAACAGAACTTGTACTTCCTCTGGCCTCTCACAGGGGTGAAGTCTTCAATCAGACCTTACATAGGTCGGGAGGGAAGTGTTTTCTTTTTGATGTACTTGTTTCTCTAGATATGGAAGTTGTCTTCAGCCTAGCTAATGCTGGAGACTTGCTGCTCTCTAGGGGACAGAGCTTCTTACATAATAGTCAGAGAAACTTCATCAGGGACTATGGGAGTCAGTTTTAAAATATGAAATCAGGCTGGTGCCGCAGCTCACTAGGCTAATCCTTCGCCTTGCAGCGCCGGCACACCCGGTTCTAGTCCCGGTCGGGGCACCGGATTCTGTCCCGGTTGCCCCTCTTCCAGGCCAGCTCTCTGCTGTGGCCAGGGAGTGCAGTGGAGGATGGCCCAAGTACTTGGGCCCTGCACCCCGTGGGAGGCCAGGAGAAGCACCTGGCTCCTGCCATCGGATCAGCGTGGTGCACTGGCAGCAGCGCGCCGGCCGCGGCGGCCATTGGAGGGTGAACCAACAGCAAAGGAAGACCTTTCTCTCTGTCTCTCTCTCTCACTGTCCACTCTGCCTGTCCAAAAAAAAAAATTAAAAAAATATGAAATCAGTTTTTTATATAAAAAGTTATTTGAGAGAGTGAGGCAGGGACTGGCATTGTGCCTGCAACACCAGCTTCCCATATGGGCACTGGTTTGAGTCCCAGCTGCTGTACTTCCCATCCAGCTCCCTGCTAATGTTCTGGAAAAGCAGTGGAAGACAGCCCAAGTACTTGGCCCCTATACCCAAAAAGAAGATCTGGAAGAAACTCCTGTCTTTGGGCTAGCCCTGCTCTGGCCATTGTGGCCATTTGGGGAATAAAGCAAAGGATAAATGATCTCTTTCTCTCTCCAACTCTGCCTTTTAAATAAAAAAATAAAAATAACTAAAATAAATTTGAAAAAAAAGAACAGGAGAGCCAGCATATATGTGAGATTTCCCATCCAAATTCACTTCCCAAATGTCTGCAAGAGCTGGAGATGGGCTAGGCCAAATCCAAGAGCCAGAAACTCATCTGGGGTTCCCTATGTGAGAGGCAGGGACTCAAATATTTGAGCTATCACTTGATACCTATCAGAGCATGCATTAACTGGAAGCTAGACTTGAAAGTGGAGCAGGAAACTGGAAGAGCCACTATGGAAGTCAGTTTGAAGATTGCTCAGAAACCTGAATATAGCCCTACCATACAACCCAGCCATCCCACTCCTTGGAATTTACCCAGAAGAAATTAAATTGGCAAATAGAAGAGCTGTCTGCACCTCAATGTTTATTGCAGCTCAATTCACAATAGCCAAGACCTGGAATCAACCTAAATGCCCATCAACAGAAGACTGGATAAAGAAATTATGGGATATGTACTCTATAGAATACTATACAGCAGTAAAAAATGAAATCAGGTCATTTGCAACAAAATGGAGGCATCTGGAAAACATCATGCTGAGTGCAATAAGCCAGTCCCCAAGGGACAAATATCATATATTCTCCCTGATTGGTGACAACTAACTGAGCACCTGAAAGGGAACCTGTTGAAGTGAAATGGACACTGTGAGAAACAATGTCTTGATCAGCCCTTGTCCTGACTGTTGAGGAACAACTTACTATTTTATTCCTTTTAGTATGTTTTTGTTCTACTTAATACCATTGGTTAAACTCTTTAATTAACACACAATTATTCTTAGGCATTTAAAATTAACTGAAAAGTGATCCCTGTTAAATGTAAGAGTGGGAATAAGAGAGGGAGGAGATGTACAGTTTGGCACATGCTCACTCGGACTTACCGCTAACGGTAGAGCTAGAAACATGACTGGAGATTCCAATTCAAACCCATCAAGGTGGCATGTACCAATGCCATCTCACTAGTCAAAGTGATCAATTTCAGTTCATAATTGATCAAAAAGATAGGATTAAGAGTCAAAGGGATTACATAAATAAGACCAGTGTTTGTGAATAATAACTGATAGAATTAAAAAGGAGACAATGATCCTACATGGGAAGCAGGACACACAGCAGATACATAGAATGGCAAATGCCCTAAACAGCACTCTGGCCTCAGAATCAGCCTGTAAGGCATTTGGATCTGGCTAAAAAGCCCATGAGAGTTTCACAGGCATAGAAAGCCAATACACTGTGGCATAAAAAAATGACCTAAATGAAAGATCTCTGTGAGTGAGATCCCAATGGAAAGAATAGGGCCATCAAAGAAGGCGATACCTTTCTCTGAAGGAGGAGAGAACTTCTACTTTGACTATGACCTTGTCTAAATATGATCAGAGTTGGTGAACTCAAGAGGCTTCCATAGCCTTGGCAGCTCATAACAAGAGCCTCAGGTGATTATTGACATCATAAATAAGAGTGTCAATTGTTCAGTCAACAATGGGAGTCACCGTGCACCTGCTCCCCATTTAGGAACTCTGTCCTTACTCTGTTGTACTATGTGAATTAATGGTAAAACTACTACTCAAACGGTACTCTATACTTTGTGTATCTGTGTGGGTGCAGTCTGTTGAAATCTTTACTTAGTATATACTAAGTTGATCTTCTGTATATAAAGATAAATGAAATGAATCTTGATGAAGAATGGGATGGAGAGGGTGTGGGAGAAGAGATGGTTGTGGGTGGGAGGGAGGGAAAAGCCACTATAATACAAAAGTTGTACTTTGGAAATTTATATTTATTAAATAAAAGTTGAAAAAAAAGAAAGTGGGGCAGGTACTCTTGAATCCAAGGTCTCTGAGACAAGAAGTGGAGGTCCCAAGCAGCATCTCACCTACCCTTAGAATTCAGTTCTCAATATCAGGAAATATAGTAAATCATTTGTTTAAGGGGAGAAAACACGTATAATATGGGGCTGGTAAATATACTGGTCTTACACTAAGACTTCTTAGTAGGGGGCATATGTATTAAGATTTCATTTCATTTTATTTCACATAGGAAACCTACTATTTTGGGTCATTATGTTTCTTCATTCTAAGAATTGTCATAACTTCTTTTCACCAGTTGATCCTGTCTTGCAGAGCCACATACAATTTCCAGGAAGGAAAAGTCATGCTGTGTACTATATTAGGCAGAAGTAAGTACTATTTATTATAATATGTCTCTGGAAATACAAAGTTATACTACTATTACCTATGAGAACATTTCAGATTTCTATAATGTCTGTCAGGAGATTGAATTTCTAAAGAAAAAAACACAGAAAAAAAATGTTATATAATGCTAAAGTAAACCCAATTCTCTCACAAGTGGAATTTTTTTTTATTTCTGAATCCCCTCTCTCAATAATACGGAACCATTTCCAACTTAAACAAAACTCTAAATGCTTAAGTAATCATGTTAGATTAGGAGATTAGGGGTAGGCTTTAGCAGAATGGTCAAGAGGCTTCCCACATACAAGTATTTGGGTTTAGTATTCTGGCTCCAGGATCCTGCTATTAATAAGACAGTGGGAGACAGCAACCATGGCTCAAGTAATTGTGTTCCTATACCTGTGCCTTCCACCATGGGAGACATGGATTGCGTTCCCAGATCCTGACTCTGACCCAGGACAGTCTCACTGTTAAGGGTACTTGAAGAGTAAACCAGGGTATGAGGGTCTCCTCTCTCCCTCCTCCCACTAGACCTTTCTTTTCTCTGTGTAAGTATGTGTCTCTTTGTCTCTCAAATAAAAATCTAAGAAGTCAGAACTCATTCCTACAGCTTACACACACACACACACACACACACACACACTCAGCTTCCCTGTACAATTGAACATGAATATATTTCACAACCCCAGGACATGCCACTCTTACCACAGTCCATGAAAATACCACTTTCTTTAGGACAGCATACAACAAAGTTGGCCACAATGGCCCTGTGAAACACATATATGAATGATAAGGATATGAAAATCCAGAAGAATTCTGTTTTTTCTGAATTGACACAATTTTATGGCCTACTTTAAGCTAGTAAATATTAATTTTCAATGTTAATATTGGACTTCATTAGAAAAGCCATTTCCAACCAAGAACAAGTAGACTTAAATGTTCCTATTTTATTTCTGGGTAAGCAGTCTCTTTCATATAAAACTGCTAAGTAACTAGTACTGCAAAAGCTTCAAAAGGTAAGCAATTGAATTCTATCCCCCTATTCATATTCAGTACTGTTCAAATTACATGTGACCTACAAATTCCTACATTTGTTTGAAGAAGAAAACACATAGAAGATAAGAAGGTCTGCTTTTCATGTATTGTTCATGTTGGAACCACTATAACATGCAATTTTTATTATCTACTCAGATACAAGCACCCTCAAACACAAAGTAGAAATGGAAATAAATATCTATATCCCATTCAGAGCTCTGTAGAACAACAAAAACAGAAAGCTAAAATATCTGTTACCTTGATTCAAACTGCGGGTAAAAATCTTCAGGGAAAGATTAAAATAACCTTAAAAAGGTAGTGACTTCAATGGTAAAAATTGTTGTAAGGTTTTTCCTTTCATTGTTTTTTCTCCATTAAGTGATAATCAGATCAGTAATTTACTAAGATTGTCAATGCCTCACTCAGTTTTGTTAAGTATTTCATTCAACATCTCAAATAGTGCTGAAAAACCAAACATTATCTAAACCTAAGATAGATGAATACGGACACACACACACACACACACACAGAGAGAGATTCATTTCTATAAGACAGCATTCATATTCTTTTTTCAGAGGGGAAATACCTGGGTACTGTTTTATAGCAAAAAGAGTTAACACTGCACCAGGATTGAGAAGTAGGTTTTAATTTTTATTCTAGTCTACACCAGTGTGAATTCCACAAGAAAAGTAACCCTACCTAGACCTCAGTTTCATCATCTGTAAAATGCTGTAGAACAGAATATTTTATTCAATTGCCAAGCATTTTAAAGAACTAAGCATAACATCAGATTTTCTGGCATTTTTAGGTAGACTAATTTTTATTACAATTAATATAAGAGTTTAGATAAATATCAAAGGATCAAAGATATGGAGTAATTAGATAAAATGTAGCTTATTCTCACACACCTGAATTAGATCAAATACCTATAACTCATTATGAAATATTTGCCCAACTGAGCATAGCTAACATTGTGTCTTTTCATACTCAAGGCAGAGTTTAGGTCTCATTTCCTTAATGAAGTCTTTCCAGATTAAACATTGTATGTTAAACTGCTAAAGCCACTTGTCTGGCCTTACAAACCATGCTTAAGGATATGCTACACACAGAAACACAGAAAGCTAATTTTGAAGGAATATGAAGGCAGAAAATCTCCCAATGAAAGTACAAAGGAAATCCAAAGCAAACAACAGGAATATTTACAGAAAAAACAGCAAGGCCAATTTGTTACTAATCGATAGTAACCTTGAACGTATATGGCCTAAATTCTCCAATTAAGAGATAGACTGGTTGAATAGATTAAACAAGACCCATCTATTTGCTGCCTACAAGAAACACACCAACAAGGATAGACAAAGTGAAAAGATAGAAAAAAAATCTCACTCTAACAGAAAGCAAAAATAGCAGGTGTAGCCAATATCAGACAGAATTGACTAACACAAAAAATGTTAAAAGTGACAAAGAATGGCATTATATAATGATTGCAGGATCAATTCAACAGGGAGATTTGACTATAATAAATGTATGTACCCAATGCAGGGTGCCTGGTTATATTTTTTAAAGATTTATTTATTATTTGAGAGGCAGAGTTACTGACAGAAGCAAAGACAGAGACAGAGAGAGGGGTCTTCCATCCACTGGTTCACTCCCCAAATGGCCTTAACAGCTGGAGTTGGGCCAATCAGAAATGAGGATCTTCTTACAGGCCTCCCACATGGATGCAGGGTCCTAGCACCTGAGCCATCTTTCACTGCTTTCCCAGGCCGTAAGCAGAGAGCTGGATGAGAAGAAAAGCTGCCAAGACATGAACTGGCATCTCTACAGGATCCTGGCACTGCAGACAGAGGCTTAATCTACGAATGCCACAAGGCTGGTCCCATACCTGGTTATTTGAAACAGAGGTCAATGGATCTAAAGGGAGACATAAACTCCAATACTATAGTAATGGGGACTGCCTTCAAACCACACTTTCATCAATGGACAGATTAACCAGACAGAAAATCAATAAAGAAACAATAGCACTAATCTACACTATGATCCAAACAGACTTATCTGATATCCACAGAACATTTCATCCCACAGTTGAAGAATACACATTCTTTTCCATAGTTCATGGAACTTTTTCTGGTATAGAGCAAGTCTCAACAAATTGAAAAAATTTCAAGTCATACCATGTATTTATCTTTTCTGACCACAATGGAATGGAGCTGAATATTAACTTAAGAATCTCCAGAAAATATATGAACATATGGAGATTGAACAGCACACTCCTGAATGAACAGGTCATAGAAGACATTAAAGGGAATAAAAGGCTCCTGGAAATGAATGAAGATGCAATATAACATATCAAAACTTAGGTGATACAGCAAAAGTGTTTTAAAGTTTATAGCAATTGGTACCTGGAGGCCACCACAAAGCACACCAAACACTAGGGTAAGGGAAAAGGTTTATGGGGGTAACCCTACAGACTGAAGCGAAGGGGTGAAGAAGGAAAAGAGGGAGAAGGAAAGCATAAGAGAGAGATCAAGAGAGTAAGAGATGGAGAAAAAAACAGAGTTCGGGAGAGAGCAAGGGACAGAGAGATCAGGAGATGGAGAGAAATAGAGAGCCACGTATTCAGGAACAGGGCCTTTTAAAACTTTGCCAGGGAGTGGGCAGGGAAGTAGGCACAGTGAATCCCATTAGGATGGGGGGGGGCTGACACCAGTGGTTGGGCCATGTGGCTACCTGGCTTCCCGCAATGGCAGTGGGGGCTAGAGCCTAGGATGGTGTTGGGACTGCGTCATTTTACTAACAGTGCCCACATCAAACAAATGGAAAGGCATCAAATAAATGATCAATACATCTCAAGGATTTAGACAAACTAAACCCAAAACTAGGAGGAAAGTAATAAACAAAATTGAAACCAAAGAAATACAAAAGATCAGTGTGGTTCTTTTGAAAAAACAAAGAAAATTTAGATACCATTTGCTCAACTAATGAAAAAGAAAAAAGAGAAGACCAAAATTAATAAAATCAGATGAAAAACGTGACGCAACAATGGATACCACAGAAATAAAAACAGTCATCAGGAATTACTATAAACAGCTATATGCCAAGAATTTGGAAAACCCGGAAGAGATGGACAGATTCCTGGACATATACCAGCTATCAAGATTTAGTCAGGAAGACATAAAAAATCTTAACAGACCAATAACCAAGAAATAATAAAGTCAATAATAAAGACCCTCCCCATAAAGAAAAGCCTTGGACCAGATGGCTTCACTGCTAAATTTTATCAAACATTTAATGAAGAACTAATTCCAATTATTCTGAACTATTAGAAACAATTGAAAGGGAGGGAATCGTCCCAAAGTCTTTCTATGAAGACAGCATCACCTTAAATCCTAAACCTGTAAATGATACAAAGAAAGAGAATGATTGAACAATATCCATGATGAACATAGATGCAAAAATCCTCAACAAAATACTAGCTAATCAAATTCAACAACACATCAGAAACATCATTCATCCAGACCAAGTGGGATTTATCCCTGGTATGCAGAGATGGATCAATATGTGCAATTCAATACATGTGATACAACACACTAACAAATTGAAGAGTAAAAACTAGTACAGCCATTGTGGGAGACCATATGGAGTTACTTCAGGAAACTAAAAATAGATATACCATATGACCCAGAAATCCCACTCTAGAAAATTTATCCAGAAGAATTGAAATTGGCATATCAAAGAGTTATCTGTATCCCCATGCTTATTGTAGCACAATTCACAATAGCTAAGTTATGGAATCAACCCAGATGGCCACCAAACAATCATTGGATGAAAAAATTGTGGACTATATAGTATGGAATACTATTAAGCCATAGGAAAAATGAAATCCTGTCTTCCACAATAAAATGATACAATGGGAAATGTACTTAGTGTAACAATCCATTCCCAAGAAGACAAA